TAAACTAAAATACAATTTATAATATCCAAAGGAGAAAAAAACGTCTATATATATTTTAATTCTTTAATTTTCTTTATAAAAAAGGAATTTGCACAAACATCCGCAGTCTAATAATGACATATATCTTTCATGATTTCGATGTATTATAGCTTTATTTAATTTAGTAAGTAGTTACTGCTTTTGTTGTTTGGACTCAAACGTACGCTCATTTAGATTTGAACTGTATGATTGCAATACGTAAAATATAGAAATATAAATTGATGCATCTAGTACGTTTCCATTAATTTTTAACTCATCTCCACATCACTAGTCGATATTTTCTGTGAAGATATATTACCAGGGGTCCTTAAAATGCGATCCACAAATCCTAGAAATGCAATCCCCGATGTCAGAAAATTCGTGACCTTGAATTTACAGAGGTTCTTTATATTTTTACAAATAAATAAATAACTTCGATTAATTAAAATTTTGACTATTACAGAAACAACTTTAAATTGGAAATTTATTTCATTTTGAATCGAATAGAATATTAATAACAGAAAACGTGCAGGACTCGTGCAGTCGTTTCCTTTTCATAATATTACTTGATTCTAAGTCGGTTAAGTGTATTCTTAGCACTGCTTGTAAATGTTCATCAGTTAATTTTTATAGCATTATTATCAAATTAATCAGACTACTTTCCTAATATGCCGAAGATCAAAAGCAATAGTCTTATCAGCACGATTTACTCAAACGATTTATGTCATGCAACGACACTAGAGACAGGATTTATATTACCCAAAGTCATTTTACTGAGGTAATTGTTCCAATTCCTACTCAAGTGCTCTACAATTTTAACTACAACTCTATAATTTTAAGGGAGATATAAAATAAATAGAACAAAAAGTGTTTCTAATTCGTGGCATGTAAAGGAAAGGGTGAGGAAAGCAGGAGCGGTGATGAGGAGTGCGTGGGGGATTGGAAGAAGGAAGTTCGAGAAGAAATGGAGCAGATGGATTTGGCTATTCGACACTTGTGTGGACGGTGATGGGGTATGGAGAGAGAGGAAGGAGATAGAGGGGGCACACGAGAGGTGTATTAGATAGACGCTGGGAGCGCTGGGAGTAGAATGGTGGACGCCGGGATATATGGTGAGAGAAGAGACGAAGAGGGCGAAGATGAGGACAAGGGCATGAAAGAGAGCGTGGAGGTTTGAGGAGAAATTGCGGAGAGGGGAAAGAGGGGAAGTGGCGCGATTATGCTGGGAAGAGGTGACAAGGAGGGAGAGGAGAGAGGGGCAGGGGATGTCGAGATGGGAGAAGGAAAGGAAAGAGCGAAGGAATAGCGGGGATGGAGGAGGGAGGGAGGAAGAAGTGGGAAGCAGAGAGGAATACGAGAGGATGGAAAGGGAGGACAGGGAAGAACAAGAGAGAGAAAGCGCGGGGAGGATAAGAGAGTCGAAGTACAACAGGTGGTACAGGGAAGTGAGGACGGAAGGGATCCCGAAATATCTGGAGGCGAGGTGGAGAGAGGAGAGATGGAGGAGGATAGCGAAATTTAGGGTGAGGAACGAAATGAATGAGATGATGGATGGATGAGGATGGATGAAGGAGCTAGAGAGGGTGAGGGGGGAAAGAGAAGAAGGGGAGAGGGGAGGGGAGAGATGGAATGACAGGAAGAATGGAATGAAAGGAACGGAAACGAAGATCCGGGATAGGCGAAAGGGAGAACGAGCAGGATTAGAGGAGAGAGGCGTAGATAATAAGAGAGAGGGAGGAAATGCAGAGGAGGGCGACGGAGAGAGCGAGAGATGTAAATAGAGATGTAAGATAAAGAATTGTAAATAGAAATAATGATAAAGAACTGTAAATAGAAATAAGGTAGCATAAGAATAGGATAAGGCGCGGATAATTTAAGTAGATTTGTAGAGAAACGGAGGAATTGTAATCCTTAGGGAATCAATAAACTTACATACATACAAGCGTTTCTAATTCTTCTCAACATTGTTATGCATTATTGTATAATGCTCGATTAAATGCTAACTTGTAAATTAAAAACCGAAAGTGTCACACATTTTGTGTTCTCATCACGCTACTACGCTTTTCATTGAGAATACCTGTCTACAAAATTAAGGATTTCAAACGGCGCAAAGAAGTTTCTAATATACATAGACGCAGATAGTGTTTAAAGAGTGTGTGTACTTTTATATACAATAATGAAAGAATTAAATTTTGACACCGGTTTATTGTAATCTAGAAATGTGAATAACGATATGTACACTGTCATAAATTTTGAACTAAAGGGGTTGTAGCTGTTAATCTACTAATTCAGTGTATTAATTGCTCAAAAACATCAATATATTTTAGTTTAATAATAGGATAAATAGAATTTCCATATTTATTTCGTAGATTATTTACTATGGCTAAGAATACCCCAATTAAAAAACCGAAAAGTAACCAAAAAATAACAAAAAAAATACAGATAAATGTGAATCAACCACTAGGGTTTCATATTATTTTAATCATATTTAATGTGGCAAAACTTAATTTAACAACGGAAAAAAATATGGAAAAAAATTATGAACTTATAACCTATAGTCATTCCCAACGCCGAGCGAGCATGCTCACACACATATCACCGTACCAGCGTGGAGGTATTTCTTCCCTCGGCCGGAAAGTGGGCACGACGCGAACATAGTGGGGACCAATGCTTGGTGTGGGTATGCAGTGATTTTCAAGATTTGTAGGCTTATTTTGGACCTATGTGAACCTGGCACCCGACTTTAAGTAAACAATTCAAACGAACATGCATTCGATTACTCTCGGTTTGTACCTGTTTGTACCACTCTTCATTTCGTTTGTACCCTTAAGGGATGAAAGATCAGGGGGGTGGGAAAAATAGCTAGCACCCCATTTTAAGATATCGCAATATGCCAATAGTGATTCGATTAAGCATCGTTTGTACCCGTTTGTACCGCCTTCACATTCGTTTGTACCGCGATCGGAAGATAGGGGTGGAAGCTAACTTCCACGTTTTTCGAGATATTTCAATTCCGCGAACGGGTGCTGTTTCCAAATCGTTTGTACTCGTTTGTACAGCCTTCACATTCGTTCGTACCACCGGGGGTTCGTTTGTACCGCGCTCGGAAGATATAGAGAGAAAGCGCGGGGAGGATAAGAGAGTCGAAGTACAACAGGTGGTACAGGGAAGTGAGGACGGAAGGGATCCCGAAATATCTGGAGGCGAGGTGGAGAGAGGAGAGATGGAGGAGGATAGCGAAATTTAGGGTGAGGAACGAAATGAATGAGATGATGGATGGATGAGGATGGATGAAGGAGCTAGAGAGGGTGAGGGGGGAAAGAGAAGAAGGGGAGAGGGGAGGGGAGAGATGGAATGACAGGAAGAATGGAATGAAAGGAACGGAAACGAAGATCCGGGATAGGCGAAAGGGAGAACGAGCAGGATTAGAGGAGAGAGGCGTAGATAATAAGAGAGAGGGAGGAAATGCAGAGGAGGGCGACGGAGAGAGCGAGAGATGTAAATAGAGATGTAAGATAAAGAATTGTAAATAGAAATAATGATAAAGAACTGTAAATAGAAATAAGGTAGCATAAGAATAGGATAAGGCGCGGATAATTTAAGTAGATTTGTAGAGAAACGGAGGAATTGTAATCCTTAGGGAATCAATAAACTTACATACATACAAGCGTTTCTAATTCTTCTCAACATTGTTATGCATTATTGTATAATGCTCGATTAAATGCTAACTTGTAAATTAAAAACCGAAAGTGTCACACATTTTGTGTTCTCATCACGCTACTACGCTTTTCATTGAGAATACCTGTCTACAAAATTAAGGATTTCAAACGGCGCAAAGAAGTTTCTAATATACATAGACGCAGATAGTGTTTAAAGAGTGTGTGTACTTTTATATACAATAATGAAAGAATTAAATTTTGACACCGGTTTATTGTAATCTAGAAATGTGAATAACGATATGTACACTGTCATAAATTTTGAACTAAAGGGGTTGTAGCTGTTAATCTACTAATTCAGTGTATTAATTGCTCA